AAGGGAACTTCTGTCCATGCTTTTCTGGAATACTGCATGAGCGCGCTGTTGCTGTGATGTCATTTCAGAAAGACGCTGTGCAGTTTAGGTTTTTTTATTCAAATAGTGAATCCAAAATTTGAAAAACGAATCACCAAAAAAAAAAAAAACAATCATGACAGCAAAATATCCACAGTTATGGGATTTTCACTTTTACCTATCTGTGCATGTCCTAATCCTTACAAACAGCATGGCACATAATATGACAAGAGTACAAATGAATTTGATGGAAATTCCTTTCATTTTCCACCTGAAAATGTATAATATCCTTTTTGTCCTGTTTTAAACCCTTTCATCATCATAAATATGTCAAAATACTAAAGCAATTGCACAAAAAGAAGGATAATTGCACAGAAGGCTTCACTGTTTGAAGTACTTGTGTACAGGATGAAAATGACTACTTTTACCTAACTGGCATTTTCTCAGCAACCCAAAGCGCTATTTTCAAGATTTTTTTTAAAAGTATTTGAAAGAAAGAGCTCTCTCTCTCAGCTTTAATCTGAGACCCAAAACATAAAAATCCACCGATCCTTTTTTTTTAAATGCAAAAGTTGTAGGGTTGCATTTTTCTGGGTCAAACCATAGTACAACTAACATCGCCCGAACGAAGGATGATTGGACTCCTCTCGTCGATTATCTTAGGAACGTGAATTAGACCGTGCATGCATGGGGCAAGGCATAGCCCTCAGTCAAGGCCCACGCGTCTTGACCCGGACACGTGGCGCGCCCCGGATGCTGGCACGTGAAAAGACTATCCAGCGAGCGGCTCGCATGGGTAGTCTTTTTACGTGCCAGCATCTGGGGTGCGTCACGTGTCCGGGTCAAGACGCGTGGGCCTTGACTAAAGGCTAGCATAGCACGGTTGCATCGCTGGTTAGCAATAGCCGAGGGAATCATGAAGCACGTCGCCAGGGCTTTGAACATTGTACGATTATAGGTGTTCGCACATTACCATTAGTGCGCAGGCGTACATAAGGTCACAAATCAACCACTAGTCGCTATAAATGGTCCTCGCCTGAACGTGCTCTGAGATGTCAACATCTGAGAGAATTTATCAAGGGATGACGTCACCCTGAAAGTGCCAAAATCCTCAGGATTTTAATATCTTGGTTGGTACCTGTAACAGACCGAATTTGACACTTGTGAACAAGTCTAGAAAACTTTCCGTATTTGCATAATTATGCATGAAAGTCTTGCATTTTTGTTGCCTGAGGGCGCTGTTTGATTGGGTGTGGTCAGCTCCTTGGACATGCATGACCACATGTACATGTGTATGTACATGTACATGTGCACACCTATGCAGACACCTACATGTATGCAGACATGCTCTGACATCACTCTGTAATTTGCCATTTATATGTGACATCCCTTTGGAAGCTCAGCAAAAGTAAGTTTACTGACATTTATTTACTTATTTTGTGATTGTGATTAGAGATTTATATTCATAATTGAAAAGGAAATTTGTGTGTAAATTTGGATTATTTAGCCAGTCAAATTGAACCATGTGAGCCACTCCTTGTTTGTCATTGAGCCCTTTTATATGATTGAAAGACATTGTAAGATGAAAAGTGTTGTTATTTATACTTACCATGGATAGATTTATAGAGCACTTGACTCAAAATTAGTTTTTGTTTTTCTTTTCTTATAGTTGAACCTTGCTTGCTTGCTTGCTTGCTTGCTTGCTTGCTTGCTTGCTACTTGCTTACTACTACTTGCAACCTGATTGTTTGCCACATCCTACTGTACACATTACTTGCTACTTGAGACACCACTGTGAATTGTGAATTAAACCTTGTGACAGCAATCCAAGCATGAGTTTCAAACTGAGCTTATTGGTATTTCTGTAATCAGTACCTAAACACATTTTTGACTTCATCGAGGTTGACTTGATTTAATCTGGATTGGGTCACATCTGTCCCGGAACTTTTTAGAGTGCAGAGCTGTAGCTACGTGTTTAAAGCAGTAGCATGGACCATGTTTGTGCTTGCTGATGATGCCCACTTGTCAAAAAAAACCCATAATACTATGGAGTATTATGGGGTCTACCCGATGTTCCCCAATACCTATGTTCCCCAATACCAATGTTCCCCGAAATCCTTAGGATTAGGGTTATGGTTAGGGTTAGGGATATAGGGTAAGGATTTCGGGAAGCATCGGTATTGGGGAACATCGGTATTGGGGAACATCGGTACTGGGGAACATAGATATGTACCCGAGTATTATAAGCATTAGCGTGAAATTTTGTTTGAGACTCTAGGCTTACCGTCACACTTATCGCGGGATCGGCACCAGGTTCACCTTCAACTACTGCATGTGTGGTATCAGAGTCGACCTCTGGTTTCCCGTGTTTCTGCAGAGAGTATACGACCGGATTGCCTTTACCTGGCCGCCCCGAACTGACGTATCTATACCTGTAGAACATACCTGTCACAGAAAAACAGGATTCTGAATGGTGCAATGAAAATGTGGCTCTAATTATGTTGTACCATCACTGTTTTTTGTTACTGCAGCAGTTGTTGATTTCGATCTTTTAGTCTCCGGTTTCTGGTCTGCGCGCGCGTCGCCGTAGCCATGCGCGTCGGCAAAATAAAAAAAAATCAATAAGATGATGTCTCAAAAACGCCAAACTCACTGTTTTGATTGGAATCCTGCTGCTGCACAAATTTAACGTTTTTTTAAGATGGGATTACGATCGAGTAATCGAAAATGTTCTAAGCTTTTTAGAACATTTTTGTGGCCTATGGGCTCCCGTATATTATTTTGCACTAAATTAGTCAGGCACCATTTGCAGACGGTGTCGTTATTTTGTAATTGTGCGACTGGAAGCCAGATGGAGGGAGCGATGGTCGTGTATCTGGAACCCGCAAACGCTTTTTAATTAGGGAGCAGACTAATGTCTGCCTGACAGCATGCACAGCATGCACATGCACTTGCACGATGTCGACGTCGATGTCGCTGTATGGTCTGACATTACCGTTTCTCTGTTTTTTGTCTTGACTATCCAAATTTCAAGAATGTTCGTGTCGAACGAGATCGTAAGTGAGTGCGGAATTCTCAAGCCTTATAGCCTTATTGAGGTCACCTCAAGCTCCACCCTGAAGGATATTTTTGAGAATTTTAAGGGGACCGAAGCGTCATCTGCAACATCTGCAGATGACGTTTGAAGAAAAAAAAGTTGGGGGAAAAAACGCTTCGCCGCACCACTTTTGGCGCAAGCTCCATACCAGAAACCGGAGATTATTTTCGTTTGGCCTTATGCTTGCCGTTGCTAGCTGCTCGTGATGTTGCTGAAATTGTTGCTGCTGTTGCCGCAGTTGCATTTGCTTCTAGTACGGTACGTATACATGTATAGTGATATCCTAGTGCCTCTGCTGCTGCTTATGTTGCTGTTGCTGTTGCTGATTCCGCTGCTGTTATTTTTGCAGCCGCTGCTTCTGTTACTGTTGCCGCTACTATTGCCGAAGGTATACTTTCGTTATCGTTGGTGCTGCTGCATTGCTGGTTCATGTAATATTGTTGCTGCTTTTGATCTATGCTCCTGCTGCTGCCGCATTTGCTGTTGCTCCTTCTGTCCGTTGCAGCTGTTATTAATTAAGCTTTCTCGATCTCGTGCATGCTGCTGCTGCTGCTACTTTAATATCCACGTACCAACGCCTATAATCAACGCCTATATCCACTTACATGTTTTCGGGTCATATTTCGACACAAAGCTCAATGCGCCCTTGTCATTGCTCAGATAAAGTGTTGGGTCTCCCTTAAGATATATATCGTAGCCAGCAACGGGTTTTCCCAGCCACCTATACCCGGTCAGCTTGCTTGCAAGGACAAAAATCCACGTCATGACATCTTCATCCGTCAGAGTCAAGTACAGAATATGAACCTCCGGCTGGTTTTCTTTGGTACAAGAAACAATCAAATTATGGAAAGATGGTGTCAGATAACCGGCAATAAACAATAGGAGGGCATATCGCATCTTTGTTTTTTTATACCAAGCGTTTTTAAACTTCAATTTATAATAATGTAGTTAGTATTGGCCTCTTCTTGTTCCTTTCTATTTCTTTTCTCTATTTCGTTTTTTTATGGGGGGGGGGGGTGTTCGACCCCCTCTGATATCGCTACGCCTTGTGAGATAACGGAGAGCTATATAAATATTATGTATATCAATTGCCAGTAGTTCCCGGAAGTATCGGGTAGTTTTAGATACTACCCATTTCAAATTTGTTTATATGACCAAAATTTAAAAAAATGATCCATTGAATATTTGATCTTTTAGACACTAAGCGCAAGGACTGGATCCCTCTCGTGAGATTCTCAAGACAGTTGTGATTTGAAATTCGTGCCTGAATTCAGGAAACCGAGTTATCGGGTTTTACCTTTTACTACGACAACTTCGAAGTAAGTCCACACGAACACGTGGTTATCTTCATCCAACTGGCGCTTAACGGTCTGTATGTGTTAGGGGAAAAACAACCAACAAATTGCTACATAAAGCTGATTTAGCCTTTTTAAGCTCTAGCAAGAGCTTCTACATGTGTCGTGTAGTCACTTGGTGTTCGGTCGGATGGTCTGTCTGTCTGTCTCGAAAATTGACCGTTGACCAAAAGCATGGTGTTCCATTATGTGCCATCGCATTTTCGGCGTCGCATTTATCATTTTGATCGATTTCATGCTAGACTTTTTGCAACACGGCCATTGCTTATTGTGCAATCGCAAGAGTTTTTATCATGCTTATAACCAAATCCTACTTGATTCCATTTTAGGCGAACATATGTGACTGGGCGGTGCTGTGATATACAGAAGTCAATCCAAGTAACAATTTCACCCTATATAAATGAGCGTTACTGACCTCACTTTTAACTCGTGCAGTGAAAATAAAAACATTTTCAGTCTTCATAACAAACAACTTTCCCCTATACTTAATCCCCCACGTTGATGCAAGATAAAAACCCATCAGGACTCACCAAAAGCAGCTTGGGCTTCACATCTTCACGGAGCAGGTCCAGAAGATATTGGACTTGGCACCCCTCGATGTTTGTGCCGTTGATGCCTACGAGAACATCGCCATCGCTATAGTATTAACAAAAAAACCCCAAGGGGATTCAGATTGGCGTTCAGCTGTGAGCGAACATTCGGGCGAGGAATAACGCCCTCCTCGTAATGACGTCATTTCCTACAGATTGCCTCGTGCATCGGCATTTTGCGCTTCAAATTTTCATGACGCGCATTGGCTGTGCGTGCGCCATATTTCGAAGAATCTTCGAGCAACACGCGCACGTGCTTAGAACATTTTGCACACTGCGCGCACGCACCTGAGGCATTGAATACGCAGTTGTAATGTTCCTATAAACCAGCAATGGAGCTTTTTTTTGTGGTACCTTCGCGGCTCGGGTCATTATCAGCGTCCAGACTCCAAACCGGTCTTAAACATCTTGTTTAAAACCGCCCAAACACTTTATACTCCCCTATTTATAGTCTTTACGTACTGAATTCCTGCGTCGCGAGCCAGGCTATTTCCCACCGTCTCTGACAGGACGAATTTCCCATCGATGTCATCATGTCGCACCCCGAAGTCCACCGCTTCACCTGGCTTATTTGGGTGTGGAAGGTACACTTGTCCGCCGACGATTTCCTGAAATTGTAACTCATCAAATTGTTTTACATTGATTTGCAATAAAATAAACATGTTTCTGCTTGTACAGTAGAAACATCGCAATAGACCCGATGAGAATTTTTTGTTATAATAAAAAAAAAGAATAGCTGATCGTTTTTTTTTGCTTTCGACTCCATCAATAGATGAAACCGAGGGCCCAGCCCCAATGCTCTCTTGTGCGAGGATTAAAAGAGAAGAAGAAAATGTCCCCAATTCATATAGACCTTTATCATGCTGCAACCATTTCAGTCATGTGCCCTGTATCCAATAACAGTACTGAACGATAATTGTTTTTGTGCAAAAAAGGAACCAGACTTTATATGGGAAAAAATAACGATGGCCGCAACATGATAATTTTATTAAATGCCAATTTGAAATTCGTCCATATGCCATTTATTTTGATCGAAATGAGGGCGCCATAATTACAACGGCGCCATTTCCCGTTTACAAACGGTAGAAATACCACATGTGTAGAAAAATTTAATCTGATTTACTCCAACTTAACAGTATTTTTTTTCGGACGGGGCAATTGCACTGACCAACTTCTTCCCACGACCACTGGGCTCATCAGTGCCGTCTTCTGTCTTTGCTGCGCCTCCAAGTTCCGGCAACTCGGCCGACCCTACTTGCGTATCTGCAATCAAAAGAACTTGTTTCATTTCAACATTATGTATGTCCGGCTCATAGCTCTATGGTCCGGCTGCGGTTATTTTTTTCCTGCGACCAAATAATGGTCACTGACACCACAATGCGCACGCGTCAGCTGTTAATATAATTATTGTTCGCGTATGAACTAGATACTTTATTTCAGTGTTGAAGTACTCGTACTCGGTACTCGTACTCGAGTACTACTCGAGTACTTTTTGGAGTACTCGTACTCGTACTCGAATGACGGTACTCGCACTCGGGCAGCAAAGCATTCGTGCTCGACATGTCGAAATTGAACTCGTTCATCAAAGTACTGGTACTCAGTACGGTGGGGGGGGGGGGGAATGGTATAGGTTTTACTTGTACTCGTACTCGTACTCGGAGACCTGTATTTGTACTCGGAGGTACAAGTACTCGTACTCGGCAACCTAATGTACTCGGCAGTACTAAGTACTCGGGAAAAGTACTCGACTAAAACACTGCTTTATTTTAAATCCACGTGATATATTATTTTTAATTACGTGATACACGTGTATGTAAGTGACTATACCTGGTTGCAGAAGAAAAACACATTGAACTTAACCATTATATTTTAGATTACTTGTTCGATACAGCATGAGCCTACACAAAGTTGCAAGGGGCTTAGATCATTCAGATACCATTATGGTCCCGATCATTTCTCCTTCTTGTGTAAAGCATTTCTCGAAAACTTGTTAACAGAAATAAACACCTGCCACTTTGTTTCTATTTCTAAATCTGGAAAAACGCTTGATTTAAACTTCCCCAAAATGTGATCCGATGTGAAACGGCCCACCTCGTAAAGCGATTATTGAAAAACTGAAATACTTGACGACTATTTTGAAAAACTGAAACACCGCGTCCGTTTTTAATTTTAAATAAAACCTTCTGGGCTCTCACCTTGGCGTTTCTCAAAACAGCATTCCATGTTGCAATGTTGGTCGTTGTCCTTTGATGCAGTCTCCTTCTCCTGCCTAAAATAGTAGCAGGAATTATTTACGGTCACATTTCTATGCTATTTGCCAAAATACCTGCTATTGGCGTTTGTACTTCACGACAACACACTAACGGAAACGTTATGTCGTGAACAGCGCATAATGACAGCTCAGACGCGATTGAATGCGAGCCTATTTTCCAGGGTGAATGAACTACAGTCAACACCGCTTTTCAGGCTACGTTGCTTAGGCTACGAAATGGGTTATGTCAAAATGTGGTTGGATTTTTCCCAAATCCATTCATAAATCATTGAATAATATTAAAGGTCCCTTTTAACAGTCAACATACAATTCAAGTTCGTCACGCATGCACGGCGCGCGTTTGTTGGCTTACACCCGTGTATACGTCCTTCTATGAATACCGCACTGCACACGGCCTATACAGGGTTAGTCCCAAAAAAACCGGAACCCAAACCCCCAAAAATATATTTCATATTTTAAAAAAATATGTAGCACCAAAAAAAATAACGACTGAAAAGCCAATTACAGAAACTTTACTTTTAGATGAAAAAAAATACTGAAATTGCTCGGTCCGTTCAAAGAATATCACCATTTAAACACAATGACCCTAAAACCTGTTTCGTCAACAACAAAAATAGAGAAGATGTTGTGTGTTTGGAGCAACAGAGAAAAGAACTCTTTTTTTAAACTGGTCCCTTATAATTATTGCTCCTCGAAAGAGTGCCGGAAATTTCACTCTTTTGGAGTGATTTTCACTCTTTTAGAGTGGTTTTTATGTGAGATTCATTATTGGAGTGGTTTAATAAGGAATTTGGAGTGTGACCTTTTCACTCTTATATAAAACTAGGGCAAAATTAAGGTTACCAGGCTTGCGAGTTACAGTGTCATAAACAAGTGCTTTTGAGAAATCCGACCAGTTCCATTCGCTCGTACCCCCCGCCCTGTAAACAGGACGCTGGGAAGGGCTGACGAATTAACGCTCTGATTGGTTAGATTTTGCGTAACCTGTGACCTGCAAGTCATCACGACCACGACCCTGCAAGGTTTGAAACGGCCGTTAAGACTGAGTCATTCATCACTCTTTTATTCCCATTCATAAATGCGGCGCCTTTTTGGGTTGAAAATCATAATATTGTAGGAAAATCTGTAAAACTTATCTGTTTTGTAAATTCTCAACTCCCGTCAGTTGCTCAGGCTCCGTTTCGAATTCACGAAGGGTCGAAATGCATATTATTCGACGCTCAAAATTTTTCCACATGGTTCGCAGTGAAAAAGAAATCACATCCGGTATGGTGTGTATGCACTTCTATGATAAACTTTTCGGATAGTATTCGTGCGCATTGGCTATAACCGCGGTCTACAGCTAGCTGCAGCCAGATGCTTTATACATAGGTCATGATAAATTACCCAGAATGCCATCCCCACTTCCTTCACAAGATTCTGTGAAGCTCATCTGCCCTTCCCAGCGCCCTGTTTGCAGGCGGGGGTACGAGCGAACCAGTACCACTACTTCTCCACAAAATTACTCGGGAATTTTCAAAGGATCGGGAATTTTTACTTCGGTCCATATTTTCATTTGGGTAACTGTACCAGTATCTTTGGGAATTTGAAACTCATCAATATGCTCGGAAAGACTACGCCTACTTGATTGGTGTTTTAGAAAATGTTATCTACATATATGTAGGGCCTAGGGCCTAAGTAAAATCGCAAAACATACTTTCAAAAACAATAAAAAAAATAAAATGTACCAATTATAATTATGTAAATAAATATATTGAACAACAGCTATTTACGATTTATTCAAATTAGGCACCCTCCCCCAAAGCAGTCGTATGTCAATTTTTTGTGTCACTCTATCAGTATGTATCTGTCAAGTTTGGTGCTTTCATAGACTGGTTCTCCGTCCCTTCATTATCCTCGGGATTTCGAATGTTGGCATGGGTAACTAGCAATGAATCCTGGAAGCATTAGGAGGTTACTTTTCTCATTATGTATGCAAATTATATGCATGACTTGCATAGGTCTTATTCCCGCCCCCTGAATTCAAAATCACAATGATGTACCGTATTGCAAACGGCAATAGGCAATAATGCGCAGTTTCTGTGGTGATGAACTTAGTCGCCTTTCGCTGGATTCGAAAGTGTCCATGGCATAGCAATAAGGGGCTCTACTGCTCCGTATACATTCCATGCAGTTGAAAGTCTTGAAAGTTGCCTTCATGCATGGGCGCGGCATACATGGAGACACTGGTGCTTTTACGTACTGGTTGTGGTAAGACATCGAGTGTCAACTGTCATGCACAAAGTTGTGAAAATCTTTAAAACACAACAAAAAGAATCATCTGCTATCAGAAGTGATCCAATCAATGGCTTGAAATGGGAGCCAGGCACTGGTCCTCGTATTTTTGGATCTAAAGCCTACTTCTGAAACCCAAACGATAATCCTTCAACATTTTGACTAATTGCCATTATATCAACATAATGTTCCTTTGTCTTACGGGGCATTCCACAAGTTCGCCTCCCCGTCAAATTTTGTTAGCGAAACACACAATTTAGTGATAGGTTAAGATCAGAAATCACATAAATTGGCAAAATTATACTTACCAATCAACACGGGGGGAACTTGATGCGTGTGATTATGTGTGGACGGCTTTCCAACCCAAAGTGCAGCGTGTGGGTCCTATAACTGCACCGACCAAACTCCCTCTCATAAAGTTATGACTGTAAACATGGTCGAATCCGGGAAGGAAGACAAATATACATCGAGGGAAGGAGACATTAAGGGACTTCACCAAATACAACTGTTCCCAGAATTCTGTTCAGGCCGTACTAAAGAAAATAGCTGCAAAAATAGTAACATTCGCCATTACACCCGGAACCAAATTGAAAAAAAAAACACCTTTTGTTAGCAAATTCACAGAAATTTATGTTAGGTTCAATTATGTGCGCTACAAACACAAAGATTTGTTTCGCAAAAGAACATACACACACTTTGTATGTTTGCTCAGTCACGGAGGTAGGAATCGTCTATCCTTCCTTCATTGTTCAATTGACTTAATATTCTTTGTTGGCTTTTTTTCGGCTTTATTTGAATTTATAATGAAGCCCCGCAGCAACCCGCGATTCGGTACTCAACGACACCCAATATACAGTGTGTATAAAAAAAAAATGCCAACAGAATACATGTATAACAGAATGCCAAACGTAGAATGTAACCAACATAGATTTGAAAGATACGCCTTTCCACTTTAAAATGAGACATCAAACGTCCAAAATCTGATAAAAAAATTTGACAGAGTTTATGAGTAATTTTCCAAGAGAGGTCACATTGACCATGGGACTATATTTTTCAATTTAAGGCATTGGGACAAAGCCGGTAGCTTTCCTGGCCTACAATTTAAAAAAAATGTCTTTAGCGAGTAAACACAATTCTAAAACGTTCTTGTTTATATAACAGTCGGTAACACCATGGGGCTAAATAACACGGTATCGAGGAAGGGATGATCTTTGAATTGAGTCCGCGTTTCTGTAATAAATTATCACGGCCAACGCAGTATCGAGGAAGTCATTTCAAGCTTCCGTAGCAGACTAACATGAAAGGTTCACATCTGTTTCCCCAATTGCAAATTACAAGGCACTTCCGGTTTCAACCGGAAAGAAGGGTCACGTGGTCACGTGATTTTACACGTAATATCAACAATGATCGAAGACCCCAACCTCGTCCTCAGGGTGTCGAGCCGTACGCGCCCACCACTACCTGCTCTCTCACCCTGGTATTGGATCATTTGCATGTGCAAGATTTTTGAACACGTATGCAAATGAGGAATAGTCTGGTGCCTGCCTGTGCGTTTGTTTTTGTATGCGGTGTCTGGGTTAAGAACAGAATCAATTCGTCGCAGCGCAGGCATATGGCGTGACTTACGAAAACACGATTTTATTTGTGGTATCGAATCAGTATACAGGAAGAAAGTTTCCTGGTGACTGCTCTATGTTCCTACACCCCTATGTTCCGACAACCTAGATTGTGTTACTCCCGGTTAGGGTTAGGGTTAGGAATAGGAATATGTGCAGTCGGAACATAGGGGTGTCGGAACATAGAGGTGTAACCAGTTTCCTAGCCAGGGCTTACTATTGGAGACGAAGTTGGAAATAAAGTAAGTACTGGGGACGAGGTTGCGAAGACCCCACTTGTCGATCGTTGACCCTAAGCAAACCAATGATTTGGGTTTTTTTCTCTCGGGGTAAATTCGTAGGTGCAAAAGTAGAAACATTTGCCAAAACCCGGCCGGAACCAAATTGAATAGGACTGAAAGAAAAAAAAAACTTTTGTTTATTTGTAAATTAACAGAGAATGGAAAGTTTTCAGTAACACCATGTGAATAATATCTCTCTGTTGAGCTGTTTTTGTGTGGTTCTCAGGCCGACAAGAACCAATTGTTTTAACTCGAACCATGGAGCTATAGCTCCATGCTCGAACAGCGCTCTTGTTCGTCATCAGGACTGCCGGACTCTTGCTATGCTAGTGTAGTTGTTCACAGAAAGCTAATTTAGGTTCGGTATCACGACACACGTTTGTACAAGCACAAAGAGTTTTTCGCTAAAAATACACAACTTAAACATTCTTTAATGACTTTTTTTCGGCTCTGTTTGTATTTACTGAACACATATGCAGAAGCAAATTGTGTTTTTATTTAACAAACATACAAACTTTTCATGAAATTTTTGTTTTACAATTAGCATATACATAGTATAAACGTAAAAAGATGACGAATTTACATAATGCATATTTCACAAACCCCTATTTACACTTTTTCTTTCGTACAATCTCAATTCTCAAGTGATGAATTCATAGTCAGGATTATTTCACTTAAGAGGTCAAGCCAATTGTTTGAACAATGCACCACCTATTTATTTGGTTATATGTTTGTAATGGTAAATCGTCTATTTTCCTTATTTTTTAAAATGAAATTATACTTTATATAATTCTAGTCAGTCTACAGCTTAAAACAAACGGGGGGATTTCAAGAGCTTGATATCTTATTGTTGAAAGCGCTAGGCAAACCAGTTGAAGAACTTGGACAGAAGTGGGCAACAGATGGCGCTTTAATTGTTCAGGCATATTATTTTGCAGACGCACATAATCTGACCAATGGCCACAAAACTGATTGGGTTGGGGGGGGGGGGATTGTAAGGGAAGTTGCGTAGACTTGCCCTCGTCCACACAATATTCCCCCTCTCTGGAAAACATGTTTAGAGGAATTTTTGGATTAGGATTATCTTATCTGTGGCAAAATAAAGAGAAACACTAAAGGGAATCATAGAAAAAAAACTTGGGTTGAAAGAGTTTTCTCAGTGTGAGTAAAATGAGTTTTTTTCACAGGTTTTTCCTAACTACAGGAAAACAAAAGAATGTCCACACTACTAGGTATACTAACGTAAACATGTCTGTGTTTTCCAGTGCCTAGCCGAGAATAAACAAGGTTTCCCAACTTGAATTATTGCGTGCAGAACTGACTTAACTTCTTCATTACAGGGGGACACCCGTACCCCTCCTCTAGTGACACCCAGGTTGGCACGATTCTTTTGATGAACGAGGCTCTAAACGTGACTCACAGAAGTTAGGGGCGGTACTAACACCCCCATTTGCTACGCCACAAATAAACACAAAAGCAAAAACCAACATTTTGTCATGATCGTTGACCACTTAAAGGAATTAAATAAGAAAAACAAATTAAACACAGCAATATACAATGTACATGTAATATTTAAAAAGAAAACACCCATTAAATTTCTCCATGCGTGACCCTGTCTTGAAGGCGCTGTGCGATGGCCCCATCGAACTCGAAAGCCTGCAACAGAAAAGGACAGATTTATCAAATTTAACTATATTGATTTCACACAAAAAATAACGGGCCCATTAGCACTTCTGAGCTACCGTAAAAAACTATTGCTTACAAGTTTACAATTGCTCGGCACAATAACTGTCGGGGTACATGTACAGGCTTGGTGAAAGTTTGTTAAAAGTCACTGAAATAAAAAAGAACACCAAACCATCTTTGCAATACCCAAACATTTGTACATTAAAAAAACTTAAGACTAACCACACTTTTTCCTTTGTGGAAATTCAAACAAAGTGCACCCCCCCCAAAAAAAAATAGGTGTCAATCTGTCTTTATTTTAACCAAGGTGTACAATACAAAAGAATTCACCAAAATGTAATACTGTTGATTCTCGTTAATGCAATCACTGTTAATACAACTTTTGGTTATAGCAAACATAACGCCTTGGTCCCGACTGTGCATTTATGTGCACAATGAATGGGACTGATGTTCCTCTTAACACAAAATTCTGATATAACAAACATCTTGGTTGGGTCCAGCTTACTTTGTATTAACGAGAGTCGACTGTACATTGTAATAATAATAATAATTTGGGAGGCTTATCATCCTTACTTGCAGCTGGTATGCTGAATTGCGAAGGACGCGGCTACAACATGGTCTGGCCGCTGGCACGTAAATTGCACCTATGACCCATGACCACGGAGCACAGCCTGAGATCGAAAGTGTTTGATTTTTCCGGAGGGAGGAAAACCGGAGGGCCTGGAGAAAAACCCTTGTGGCACAGGAGAGAACCAATTAACGCACAACTCTACTCACATGTGATCCGCGGCCAGGATTCGAACCATGGTCACTTTGGTGAAAGGCGAGCGCTTTACTCCTAAGCCACCCATGCCACCCTTTTACATTTGGTGCAGGGGCATGTGCTGTTAAAACACTCACAATGTGACGACGTAAACTTGGTCAAAACATAGATGGTACACTCACCCTGGAGTAGTATTTCTGGGCCAGGTCCTTATCCTTTTTGACCCCGTGGCCCAGGTGAAGGCTGCGGGCGTAGTAGAAGCAGCCCAGGGCGATTCCCTTGGCCACAAAGGCTGGGAGACAGTCGGTCTCCTTGCTCAACTCTTCCACACTGTCCAACTGTGAGACTCTGAGAAACCAGACATTGATAACAAAAACATAATAACTGAACATGAAAATGCATAAAACTGTGGCCGGTCTTAAACGGATGATAAACGGTCTTAACCACTTTCACCATTTTGTTGGTTGAACGTTCACAATCCTCATGTAGGCATGTGCAATACAACCAATGAGTCAGTATTTCATAGTCCTATAAATTCGCAATGCATCAGCACAGCTGCGTTCTGCGCCACATCGCGTAGTACGCGCCCCATCGCGCAGTACGCGCCCCCAAATCTCCATTAGGTGTTGTTTACGTCAACCCGCGAGACTGGACATACAATGATAAAGCTAGAGGGGTATTTCCAAAACATGAAGTAAAATTGACTTGTTTTGACTTTTGGTGATTCAGCTTGGGTAATTATCAGCATCCAGACTCCAACCGGTCTTAAAAAATAGTGTTTAAAACTGGCCAAGCACACATTTATGCCCTTTATTTCACCCTCTGGGACAGGACGTTACCTCGCAGCAAGCTCTGCCGCCTTGGTGTAGAGCTTCTTGGCGTAGTAGTGGGATACCAAGTTGCCCATGGCATACACATTGCCCCTTTCCGATCCTTCTTTAAGACACTCAAAGGCCGAGTCTGTGTTCTTCTGACACCCCTGTCCCGTCTCGTACATGACGCCAAGAGCACCTAAACATAAATAAACAAAACCATTCATGTATGTAATTTGCAAGACAAGACTTGCAGTTGTGCATGTTAAGAACCCCGTCCCCCCCCCCCCCCCCCCCCACATGTAAAGTGTCCAATACTCAATTGTCCGGATTCACTCTCGATAGCTAAGGGCAATTGGAAAAAATTGTCATCGAAAGGAAGTTTGTTTCCTGAAAATTAACCTCGACGTCTTACCCTGAGATTCAAGGCTGCCATTTCCAGTTGCCTCTGAGTGCCAGAAGAAAGCCTGAAAAAATTAATAAATAAAACAGAGTGAGACAAAAATTACCAAGTGTGGAGCGAAGCTGCGGTTTGAACACACTACGGACTCTGAGGTGTCCATCTCAATGAGTGTAGAGAAGTGGTTGCAGTAAAGTAGCCTGCTCAAGAACACATGCAAACAATATGTCCCACCTAGCTAGAAACAAGAAGAAAAGCTAGAATAACACAGCTGACCCTGCAACTGGAGAGTGCGCCAAGTGTATACATTCATATATAAACTCTGCGAAATGAAGACACTACCACTTCTGGAAAAGTCTCTTCACCTTCTTAAGATCCAGACTGCATTCTCTCGAGTAGTACATTCCCAGGACCGTCTGCGCCTTGATGCTGGCTCGAGGGTTTCCGTCGTCGGCGGCCAGCAGCCACCACTTCTCGGCTTCGCTGTCTGACTGTTTGACCCCGTAGCCTTCGAAGTAGGCCCGGCCCACGTTGAACCGGGCGAAGGGGATAAGGTGCTTGGCCCTTTTGCTTCCAGAGCTGGCAATCTTCATCAAGTAGCCGAAACCCGTTTTCTGAGATTTCCGAGATGGAAGTCATGGTTAATCGGACATGGTAAGCTAGGAATTCAAGTACCCCCCCTCCCAAAAAAAATATCTAAGAAATAGCTTACATGGTCCTCTTTGACTCCAAGGCCGTCGTAGTACATGATACCCAGCTGAAACATTGCCTGGTAGTCTTTACACGTGTCAACGCTCCTCTTAAAGTAAACTGCGGCCTCTTCATAAGCCCCCTGTTGTGGAAACAAAAGAACTTTTTAAATTCTGATACTTCTGATACTTTTATTCTTGATATTTGCACAAGTATTGCATGAAATGCAAATGGTTAATTTTTATTTGAATATTGTAAACACGTTGCATCTCTACGTGAGCGCTGGGTCCCAACTACAGTTGGGACAGACCCAACCCAATAATTTGGGCACTCCAAACAAAAGTTGGGGCAGTAGCTGGGATATCCCAACAATAGCTGGGACAGTCCGAACTATAGTTCCGTTCATATCTCTGCACCTTCGAAATTTCTAACGTTCGAGTTGATGTGGGCTCTCATTTTTTCCCTCAAATTTCTTTGGAATGACAGATCCTATGCCACTGGAAGTTCTTGGATAAATTCTGATGCAAGTCCTGAACATATAGTGCTTGTTAAATTACGAGACTGTAAGTGGGAGGTCTCCTACCGGGAGTTCGAACACGTCAAAAAGTCCAGAGATTATGAACGGATTGTAGCCACGTTTACAGGTCTATCCCAGCTATAGTTGTTGGGACCATCATAATGTTTGTAAATTTATAAAGCGCCTGCATCCTTTAGTATTGGTGCTCAAGACGCTACATCATTATTACCCTGCTCATTGGGCCCTTGAAATATTTTAGAGACCATCTCAGCTCCTTGGGAGTGTACAGCTCGACGCTGCCATTTCTGCACAAAGCAGCTAAAATCAACCACAATATTCTCTGCCCTCATAGCTACCCATTTACTCCTGGGTGGGGAGAAACAATGAGTGACAAAGTGCCTTGCCCAAGGGCACACTCAACGTAAGCCCAGGCTGGACTCGAACCCACAACCTGCAACATTACTCACAGACCACAAATTCAGTGCTCCAGACCACGAGGCCACGGCACTCCACTGCTATAGTTGGGACAGTATAGCAATACAGTAGCATCGCTAAAGTTATAGGGGCATAACAGGGGCTGTAGGACCAAGTCCGCGTACCTGCTCAAAATAGAACTGGCCAAGCTGGAAGAGTGCATTGGTGTCCCCGTCTTTGATCTGGTTTAAGAGAAGCTGCTCTACCCGGTTGTCAAGGTCTTGCTTCTCTTTCTCCTTAGCAACCTCATCGTCGATGATGTGTAGACTCCTCGTCTTGAGGCTGCCCTCACTGTTGGGGCGGGGCAGTGGCTCGGCAGGGAAGAGAGATTTTTGAAGCTGATGCTCCATGGCTGGATGGATGAAACTGATGCCTTGGCTGAAATAATTAAAGGGAGGTAGACTGAAAAAGGTAAGGGCTACTCTTTTTGATAACAGGAAGGCAAACCTTGTAAAAGGCCAGAAACGCGGGCCTGAACTTTATTTCACCATGTTTGTTATCTCGCAGACCGCGCGCATACTGTCATGCTCATAGTGCATCATTTAAAACAGCCATCGTCTGGCACGCGCGTGGTGTTGCTGCCGCTGGTATGCACCGTTAGGCTATGTCAGAATAGTCGGATCGTTTTGGTCTAGTCTGGCAACATGCTGGCCAAAAATTGTATAGCACCGTTTAGTTGCGCAGCACTGTACATGTCACACTACATCTGCCATTTGTCTGCACATAAATCAAATGACACGGCACTGGAAGTTGCACTAAGTCTTTCTTTTTTAGGGTTCAGCTTGATCGTATTTTCATTTTGAGAGGATCCTGCTAGGCCTAAATACTTACTAGGCCTACTTGTACTAAGGACTTGATAAACAATGATAAAGGATTTACAGGTCTTGATGATGATTGATTGGTGAGTTTTCGCTTGTAATTCGGCAGGAAAACTGCTGAATGAATGAAAATGAATGAATTTTAATGGAAATTGGAAATGGAAAATTTCGGCAAAAGAGTGACCTTAGGCATCACCATGATCACCTGACCATGGTGGTATGAAAACCATGATTATAAACGCATTAATTTATTAAAGTAGTAACGTCATTACAATGTCAATGTCAATCAATAATCATCATCGGGTGATCATCAATTTTAAATTTAAGATCATCATCATGCAGTTCCAGTTTTCCTGCCGAATCTCCCCATGTCATGACTCATGATGAGTGCACTCACTTCTTAGTTCCCTTCTAGCTCTTCTCGGCGCAGTGGTAACCTTACCAAATATTACATATAAAAACAATGGATCAATGAAATCCAACCGGCAGTAACTGGCATCAAAACAAAAACCATGGGCGGCGCCATGATACTTTCTTAGTTGCTGTAGCAACTGAACTCGTCTCAGACACTTGAGGGCGCTATACTGCTGACACGTGCACCACGCGCGCATTGTTATTGAAGATTCATTTTTGTAACAGCCGACAGGCACTGAACAGCAGTGTGTGTGTTCTTATTCCTCCATGGTGTAGCTTAACTGGAACACCGCTTAAATTCAAAAGATTTTCCCCCGAAGTTGCTGGGCAGAAGGTCCGTCAAGCTCACCAAATGTACATGAAGGTAAGAGTACCAAGAGAGAAAAAGTGGTCAACATTTTTGATTGGAAAACATTCGCATGCCTCAGCTCATCATGACTGACCCGCTAGGTCGACCGGCAGTGGCGGCCGGCGCCAGACTCTACTTATTTTTTTTTTTTTGGGGGGGGGGGGGGGGGGAAGGGGGGGGGGGCGGGGCGGGCAATGGGGGGGGGTGTCCTACCAAAATGCGTCAACCATGTCAACAAGCGTAAACCCAGCGTCAACATATTTTGTATTACTTAGGCGAAGTAAAAAAACAAATGTTTCTTGCGTCAGCTTCCTTTTGGAGGCCCCCTGGATTTTTTTATTATTTTTTATTTTTGAAAAATGCAGTAAAAAACACCAAAAAAGTCCACAAATTAATCGGAAAATATATTGTAGACCAACACAACTCTAAATAAGTGATACTGTAAATATGTTCAGTTGTCTTGTCCAACTTGTCTTTCATTTTAAAAGTGTCTTTGAACAGTGGAAACACCAACGGTTGCAGGAAATTTTTTAATGGCGACCATCGTGAAAAAATAAAAAGTCCCTCTTTCTCCTTTTTTTCAAAAACCCGGACGAGGAACATGGTTTTTATTTATTCGGTCTTACAAATAAGGTTTTGAACATAAGAAGTAGCTTAAATTTTATGGTAGAAAAAGCGAAAAAGAACATCGTCAGCATGTAAATTACAGTTGAAATTAGTTTAAAAGTTGTGTTTCTACGCGAAACCTACAACGTGTTTGTCGATTTAGTGGAAAGTACAGTAATTACTAATAATACTTTAGTCAGATAGTCAAACTGTTAAAGGGAATATACAACATTTGCAAACATCGAAAAATAAAACTACAAAGTTTTTGCGAAATACCTAATAGGATGTTGGTAAATGACAGTCTAAAGCATCCTGTAAAATTATGGCACCTGGTATACTGTTATTTCAAGAAAATTGGTATTTTTGTATCAATTTCCAACGCTGATCGGCCGATCAGCGTTGGAAACAACTGGCTTTTTTTCAAATACTGGCCCCAATTGACCATTGCACTTGTTTGCAATCGATTACAAACCTATGAACGGGTACGAGCCAGCTAGACTGGTTCCCTGACCTTACAATTCCCCAATGTATGTAAACTGCTCTGTTTCTTCTTATATGGAGTCAGGGAGCCAGACTACAGGAAAATGATCGTTTTTCTAGGTTTTTATAGCATTTTCGAACCCAAAACCTCCAAAAAGTCAGTGTAACTATATTTGCTTTATATTTCCAACCCCCCAATTCCGTCCATTTCTGAAAATTACAGCAAAAGCAAATGATGTATATTCTCTTTAAAGGGAATATACAACATTTGCAAACATCGAAAAATAAAACTACCAAGTTTTTGCGAAATACCTTAATAGGATGTTGGTAAATGACAGTCTAAAGCATCCTGTAAAATTATGGCACCTGGTATACTGTCATTTTCAAGAAAAGTGGTATTTTTGTATCAATTTCCAACGCTGATCGGCCGATCAGCGTTGGAAACAACTGGCTTTTTTTCAAATACTGGCCCCAATTGACCATCGCACTTGTTTGCAATCGATTACAAACCTATGAACGGGTACGAGCCAGCTAGACTGCTTCCCTGACCTTACAATTCCCCAATGTATGTAAACTGCTCTGTTTCTTCTTATATGGAGTCAGGGAACCAGACTACAGGAAAATGATCGTTTTTCTTGGTTTTTATAGCATTTTCGAACCCAAAACCTCCAAAAAGTCAGTGTAACTATATTTGCTTTATATTTCCAACCCCCCAATCCCATCCATTTCTGAAAATTACAGCAAAAGCAAATGATGTATATTCCCTTTAAAATAAATAATGTTGTTGACCAGTGGCGGGTATACTTCTAGCATGACTAGACCACAATAGAAATATCGTGGCAAAAGTTTATTTTTTCGGGACCCCTCTTGCTATTTCTCACTTCAGTTCAAAACTGGTTTTTATCAACAACCTCAACTCTTGGTTCTGCATAGCCCCATAGTTCAAGGGGTACTCAACTCTCATAAATCTGGGTTCCATAGGCCTTTTTACTACTTCAACTGCACGTGCGCACATGAGATTCAACGATTTAGTTTCAAGAGATATACAGTTCCCCACACATGTGCACAGTCATAGCGGCCAGTGGGGTAGTGGGGTACCAACGAAATAAAAAAAGTTCTTGTTTTGAAGTAAATGCACAATTTTGATTTTCTTTAAGGGCACCATGATATGCCATGGTTTTGATGTTTTGTGTGCTCCCACTTCCCCCTAGCCTTTGGCTTGGGTAATTATCAGCATCCAGACTCCAACCAGTCTTAAACAGAGTGTTTAAAATGGGCCGAGCAGACATTTATTCCCTTATTTAAATGCAAGGCCCCTTCAGGGTTTTTATTTTACCAGTTCTACACAAGTACTATGAATATTGCCTTGACGGCCGTTGGACTGAACCACTGATGCATTTAACATGTACACATAAAGTATTGTCCAGCATGCACAGCATGATAAAAATACTTGGTTGTTAGTGTAGGTAGTTGACCAAGGTTGTCAAAGTCGAACAAAGACTTGGCATCATGCATTTTGCCTTGTTTGCACTTTTATAAGATGAATATTTAGGACAGGTCATAAGGCCAAGTAAAAAAAAAAACAGTGTCTTGTGCCTGCTCTGCTCCTTTTTCCTGCCTACTTTTTTTCCTCTAATTCACACATTTGCAGTATATTTTGCAGATCTATTGTCTCCTTAAAAAATTTTCAAAATGGTCGGATGAGAAACAACTATTTTTTTTGACTCGGCCAACATGTATTGTCCAGCACTGCATGATAAAATACCTGGTTGTTGTTGACGAAGGTTGTTGAACAAAGATTTGGTATCATGCTTTGTTGGCAGGCAAACACAGTTCTAGGAAAGTTCATAGCCAACAACCACAGGGGCTTTGAGCACAGAAAATTGCAAAACACAAAAAATATAGTATCACAACTTTTTGTGTACACTTGTACATGTAAAGAATGACTAACTCTGGCCATGGAGGAATTGAAAAAGCAGCGTCCTACTTGAAGTGAAATACCTTTTTTGTGCAAATTCCTGTTATAGGGGCCTACCGAGTGGTCCCCAAAAACCCCCAGAACCCCATACTTCCAGTAACCTGAGACTCAAACCACATACCAGTGCATGGAGAATCTTTTTTGAAGAAAAATGAAACCAAGATCGCCGGATTCGGTCAAGTAGTTTTTGTTCTAGAGCCTATTTTGTGAAGCAGGGTGGGGGCATTTTTTTCCCGATGAATTACTCCCGCACCTGGAAATTTTGACTTACATTCTAATTTATAAGAGGGATTTTTATCTGATAACACCCAAAAAGTATCCTTCACAGCATAGGCTCTGCAGCAAAAACTACTGTACCGAATCGGGATATTTTGTTATCATAATTCTTCCAAAAGGATTCTCCATCAATTGGTGCTGGTGGTTTGAGTCTCAAGGTAGTGGAAGTACGCCGTTCCGTTTTGTTTTTGTTTACCGACCTGTATTTTGTAAATTTGCATGTATTCTGACATCTTAACCAGGTACAGGTACAATGCATGTCATTCTATAAATTTATGGTTCCAAAGGCTGCCATTTTGCCTGTCCTTGTCCCATCTGGACTTTGTCATTTGCCATTCAAGTAGCATTAAGAATGACTTCAAACAGATATTTTTATCTGCTGGGTAGGTCGTTTGCTATTCATAATCACTCTTGGAGGACGAACCAACTTCATTATTTCAGGAGTACATAGGAATTATAAAATCATAAATGTCAGCCTGAGACGGGGCTGGGAAAAAACTTGACCAGACCTGTGCATCGGAACCGAGAACCCGACCGTTGATGTCAGGAACCGGTTCCAGATTATGGAACCAAGTACCCGTAACCAATTTGACATTACTTAGTTATTTCTCAGGCAATGAAAAAGAAAGGTTTTGAATGTCATTTGTTTGGATTTTTCCAAATAAAAAACCGGCCACATGGGAAAACAAAACGTATCATGTTGATGACGCTCGGGAAATTTGCAGTATACACCGTAAAGTTCTATGATTATGGGGGTTGTTTATCTAGTACATCAAGGTTTTATTATAGGATACTGGTGTTTCATTTGTTAAAAGGATTTTAGAAGTACCCAGTAATCAGAAAATTGATATCTATGATATGTTTGCTCATATGTTTATCAGATCTGATAATTACTTTGTGTCAACGTATTTCAGGGGTCAACCAAACTACTTGACAAGAAGCAAAAGACATGTATATTTTAGATTGTTTAAGCTCTCTTTAGGGTCCTTGATTCATGTTTCCCTGGATAAAAGTCATGCTCAATTGACGAAAAATTAAAAGAATAAAAAATATAAGGCTTGTGTCAGTAACTTGTGTAGTTGAAAAAATGTCATGAAAGTATGTCCTCAATTTTTATTTTATTTTTTAAATATGTTTACGGCCTGATAGGAATTTTAATCCCTTAGCAAGAAAAAAAGTCTAACGAACACCTATTGTCCAGGTAAGTTTTCTATATAAACTTGTTTGGGGCTTTGTTCAAAGTTCAAACATTTCGTCAATATGTACTAAAGCTTGAAAAGGATTTTGACCAACAGGGTCAAGTACGCTTTTAACACGCATGGGTTGTTATGTACAAACAAAGAAATCACAATCTCTACTTGCTAAAATCCCGAGGTTTTAGGTACACTGGTATAGTGTGGCCAGAGTCTTCGGACGAGAGAACTGTCCGTGATTTTTACAATACTGCCTGTCGAACAGGTCAGTGGACTTGGCGCATAAGTATATGTACCCTGCAGTG